CTTGGGCTCCAGTCCTGGCTCCAACCCAAACCACATGTGACTTTAGCCAAGTCCCTGTAAGGGGCGGGGAGAACAATGATCGCTAGGAATCCTCCCGCCCTAGCTTCTTAAGGGTCAAAAAGAAGGGGGAGCCGGAATTTCGGGAGATCCCAGGACTTACAGACTTGCCCCAAGAGGTGGAGAGGAAAAGAAGGAAAGTGAGGCCCACAGACCAAGAAAACTTGGATTACCTGAACTTCAGAGGAAACAGAAAAGCTTCAAGATGCCCAAGCCCTCCTAGATTTCCAGGGAAGAGCGGATTTCAGGTTCTCAAAAAACTCCCACCTGCTCAGCAAATGTCAAAATGGACAGAAGGGGCGGGGGGGGGGGGGGGTAAGACAGATAGCAACCAATTATCTCCGTTAATCAATCAATATTCGGTCTGTCCCAGGTAAACAGCCAGGAGATCTGAGTGCCGCGACCACGGAAATCACTGTGACCCCTGATGCCAGGGTGTCCAGGAGGCACAGAGAAAGGGGAGTCCGTGTCGGGGTCCTTCTTAGAGAGGGGATTCTGAGAATGGATGAAAAGTGAAGACGGGGGGCAGAGAAAAGGGGACCTGGGAGACTCTGCTGCCTGGCGGGAGGGGAAGAGGAGCCAGCGCCAGACTCCCGCCCGGAGACAGACAGTGTTGTGGGCATCTGGGGCCCGGTTCTCACCATCTTGACAATGCCCCGCTGCACGGTGGGGACCAGGGGTCCCCCGGAGGAGCCGCCGCTCTGTGCGGAGGAAGCCATGTGTAGAGATGGAAAGACAGCGAGAGAGCCGGCTCGGAGGTGTCAATGTGGATGTCGGTGCTGGTGAGAGGCCGCTGAGCGAGGAGCGAGCTGGCGGCGAGTTGCAGACGAGAAACGCGACCGACGCGCCGGACGCTCGCAGGAGCAGCAGCAGCAGCAGCAGCAACAGCAGCAGCGGGACTGGGATCGAAAAAGGAGACGCGATCTCCGCCGCCGCCACACGTTCTACTCGCCGCGCAAGCGTGCCAGAGCGCCCCCGCCCTCCGGCCAATGAGCACCCAGAGCCTGCCCGACCTCAAGCCAATAGGCACCCAGCTCGCGAAGCCCCGCCCCTTTGTCCCAAAAGTGGAGGCGAACTCCAGGAAGCGCTGAAAGAGCTGATTTGCGGTGACGGCCTAAATCTGGGGCGGGACTTCCGGGGCAGCCTAGAAGGTAGTGTCGGGAGGTGTAGTGAGACGGAAAGGACACGTCAGCAACTGGCCGCGGGGCGCGGGGGTCCTTGGGAGCCCCGGGGGTAGGGCCGGCTTCGCCCACCGGCCTGGCCCCGCCCATTGCGCCCCGCCCTGCGGGCCGGGGAGCCCACGTGGACGCCGGCGTTCCTGGAGGGCACCTCGGGATGGAGGCGTGCGGACCGGGAACCGGGAACCAGAGGCCAAGTCCTGGAGGGCTCTCAGCACTGGCTGCACACCGACTTCCGACATTTTAGCTCAACTAAAAGTATGGGGAGGACTTGGGAAAGTCTGAGCATCGTGAAACCTTCTCCCCACCTTGGCCCTGCCGCGGGACGCGGCCGCGCTTCCTTCCTGTAGTCCGGGGTGTGTGTCGCTCGCACTTGGGTCCCCGGTGTCTGGCACTTGTAAAGCGCCCGGTTCATGTTTGCGGATGGAAAGAATCTTGTCGGGGGTGACGTGTCTTTACGCTTAGAAGAGCGACCCTCGCCCTTCGCGCTCTTGCCAGCTGCGCCAGGGAAGGCAGGAAGAGCCTCGCTGCGAGCTGCCTGAGCCAGGGGCGGGCAGTGCCCTGCCCGGTGTGCGGAGCCCCGCCAGCCTCCCACCACCCATTCCCGTCCCCTCCCCAGCCCTAGTCTCTTTTGAATAAAGCAGTGGTTCTCAACCTTCCTAATGCCGCGACCCTTTAATACAGTTCCTCATGTTGTGGTGACCCCCAACCATGAAATTATTTTCGTCGCTACTTCATAACTGTAATTTTGCTACTGTTATGAATCGTCATGTAAAGATCTGATATGCAGGATGTATTTTCATTGTTACAAATTGAACATAATTAAAGCATAGTGATTAATCACAAAACAATTGTAATTATCTATGTGTTTTCCGATGGTCTTAGGCGACCCCTGTGAAAGGGTCGTTCGACCCCCAAAGGGGTCGCGACCCACAGGTTGAGAACCGCTGGAATAAAAAGATTGCGGGAGGGGTGGGAGGGGGGGCAGGGCATACAAATATTTAAATTATCGTTTAGAGACAACTAATATTCGTCGAGTGCCCACTATGTGGAGCCAAGGACCTTAGGAATTATGACATTTAATGTTAATCTGTAAAACCTGGTTCTGCACCAAGGACACCACTTAATCCTGTAGTTCTTTTGAGAAGAGGTTGCTAATTCCCCCACACTTCACACAGCCTGGGCTCAAATGTTGGGGTCAGCATCTCCATAGCACAGCTCACAGTATGGTAGCTTGTTCCCATCAGAGCAAACAAGTGAGAGAGCAAGAGAGGACAAGCAAGACAGAGGCTTTTATAATCTAACCTCAGAAGTAACATTCCATCACTTCGCTATATTCTATTCATTAGAAGACTCCAGACCACACTCAAGGAGGGGGATGACACAAGGGATGAATACCAGGAACAGGATCATCGGTGATCATTTTAGAGGATGCCTACATCACACACTGTTCTTTAACTTTAAGTAGAATTTAAAGTCCCTGAACCTCTCTATCCTCTTTGTATCTGTTCCCTTTACTGAGAATTTCTTCTGTTAACCCAGTCAAGATCTCCAACTCCATTGGGTCTGGGTTGTTAGTTTGTTTCACTAAGTCTTTTTTTTTTTTTTTTAAGAGCAGTTTTAGGTTCACAGCAATATTGAGAGGAAGATACAGAGATTTCCCCTATACTTCCTGCCCATACACTTGCATAGCATTTCCCATTATCAACATCCCCCACCAGAGTGGTACATTTGAACTTACACTGACACATCATAATCACCCAAAGTCCACAGTTTACATTAGGGTCCACTTTTGGTGTTGCACATTTTCTGGGTTTGTACACAAGTATACTGACATGTATCCATCATTACGGTATCATACAGAGTATTTTCACTGCCCTAAAAAATCACTGGTCCTGTTTAAAACCTATTTTCCTCTTAATTCCAACTCCACCATCTCCCACACTCTCAGTGATTAAGGCCTCCAACTTCAGAGAGATAATAAAAGAATTCCTTCCATTTCCCACCACCAAATCTAAAAGCTTATCTTTCTTCTCATTCCTCTCTTTCTCTCCCTTGTTACAAAGAAAAAACTTATACTGTTTACCTAAACTGTGTGTTCTGGATCCACTCCCTCCATCTACTCAAGGACTCTTCGCCCCCACCCCCACCCCGCCAGAGAGGAAGGGAGAGGGAGAGAGAGAGAAATATCAATGATGAGAGAGAATCATAGACCCGCTGCCTCCTGCACTCCCACACTGGGGATCAAGCTCGCAACCCAGGTGTGTGCCCTGACCAGGAATCGCACCATAATTTTCTGGTTCATAGTTTGAAGCTCAACCACTGAGCCACACAGCCTGGGCTACTCAGAACTCTCTTAAGAGATAATTTCCTCTTCTGTTTTTATAGCCTCTCAGTTTATACTAGATTCTTCTCATTAGCATTTAAACCTCAAATTTCTTGCATAGTAAATATAAATCTTTACTCTGCATTCTTCTTCAGATAGCTCTCCTCCCTTCACAAACCCTCTTGGTGAAATTCTTTGTTTTTTTGCTCCCACATCCTTAATCTTGCATTCAATCCTCCGCCCACTGCACTCTATTCTTATCAATTTACTGAACCTGTTCTCTCCAACGTCACTAATGACCACCTTGGGACTCCATTCAATGGACATTTTTCACACTTCACTTTGCTGAGCTTTCCATAGCATTTAACACTATTTGCTCTTTGAAGAGTCTTTTTCCTTCCCACACTCCATGTATTCCTCCCATATCTCTAGCAGCTCCTCATCTCCATTGTGAATGACTCTTCTGTTGCCTTCCCCTTAATATTGATGTTCCTCTGGGCTCTTCTCAAAGCATCTTCTCTTCTAATTTGAAACGTTCTTTCAAGACATCCATTCCCATGGCTGTATGCTAAGGATTCACAAATATATAGAGCCTGTTCAAATCTCTCTCTTGTGCTGTAACCGGTTTGGCTCAGTGGATAGAGCGTCGGCCTGCGAACTAAAAGGTCCCAGGTTTGATTCCGGTCAAGGGCATGTACCTTGGTTGTGGGCACATCCCCAGTGAGAGGTGTGCAGGAGGCAGCTGATCGATGTTTCTCTCTCATCGATGTTTCTAACTCTCTATCTCTCTCCCTTCCTCTCTGTAAAAAATCAATAAAATATATTTTTTTTTTAAAAATTTCTCTCTTGAGTTCTAAACATGTATATCCAGTGACACTCTAGAGATCTGCCTGTGGCTGTCACCTTGGAAATTCAAGTTGAACGTGTCTCACAAGGAACTTAATATCTTTCCTCCCCAATCTGTTCTTCTCTAGTATGTGTCTGAGCCCAAATAATGACACCCAAAGCTATCCAGTTGCAAGCCAGAAATTTGGAGATCATCAGTAACTCTCCCCTTACCCCTCATTGCTCATTTCTTAGTAAACCTCTGAAATCTGTGAGATATACAGCAGCACAGTCAAGTACACAGGCCCTGCAACCAGACTGCCTGGCTTCACATACAATCACTGCATAACCATGAGCAGGTCATGTAGTACCTCTATCCTATGGATTTCTCATCTGTAAAATAAAGATAATAATAGGACCTACCTCCAAGGGTGGTATTAAGGATTAAATGAATCAGTATATGCTAAACACAGAACAATGCCTGGATCTATGTGTTAAATTTGTTATGATTATTAAATATCTCCTGTTGCTTAAACCTGACATATTTTCACCTGGATTGTTGCAGTAGGCCTATAAGAGAGCTCCCTACCACCAGTGCTCCTTACCTACACCCCATCCATTCCTACTTCAACCAAAGTGGTATTTCTAAACTGCAGATCTGAACGTGCCTCTCTATTCCCCAAATCTCTCCTGTGATTTCTCAACCAGCTCTTTTCTCACAGCTCTACCTCTCATAGTCTGCACAGGCCAAGTGAATGTGGTCTTTCAAGACGTTGTGTATTGGTTTTGATAGGGGCAGAAGTAAATTATTGGGAACCAGCTATAATTGTAAGAAATATTAACCGTGTCTGTTAACCGTGATGGTTTTGTTCTGATTAAAGAAAGCACATGGGACCTGGGAGCTCACCTGGAAATGCAGCCCATGCTCCCCATTTGGAGCTGCCTAGTTGCAGAAACCAGAATTGCTAGCCCTTTGATCCCCGATCATTTTGCATACCCACAGGCCTTTGCAAACCTCCAGACCAGTAAACTGCCCATTTGGCATACTTTTTGCCTATTTTCTCATGTAATCTTTGTCCTTCTACCCAATATAAACGGCTGGCTTATGGTGAGGGGCAGAGCAGATTTTTGTGGATGACCTGCTGCTCTCCGGTACTGCCGGCACTATTGGAATAAATACTCATATATGATTCAACCATGTCTCTGCTTAATTGGCTCAAGTAGTGATGGGCAGCACCAACCCATTGATTGTCCAGTTATAATTTCATATTATTTTTTTTCTTTTTTTCATTTCAGAGAGGAAGGGAGAAGGAGAGAGAGAAACATCAATGCTGAGAGAAAATCATTGATCGGCTGCCTCCTGCATGTCCCCCACTGGGGATCAAGCCTGCAACCCAGGCATGTGCCCTTGGACTGGAATCGAACCCAGGACCCTTCAGTCCACAGGTCAGTGCTCTACCCACTGAGCCAATCCAGCTAGGGCAGTTTCATATTATTTCAAATATGAAGTTGTTTATGATAATGACAAAAAAAAGTTGTTTTTCGAAGTAAAGTTGTTTTGATGTAAGAATGAAGTACAGTAAGTCATGCCAGGATGTCAGCAATGCGTGGTGATAAACCACTCAGAGGCCCCTTGAAAGAAAAAGGTCGGCCTGCCTACCAACGCTGGTGCTTTGTTTCCTAGCCATGTGCTCTAGCAACAGGGGATTTTCACTTTCGCTCTGGCAGCCGAAAATCAGCTCTGAGTTGGATGCTCTCTCTCTCGTTGTATAAAAGAATACACCTCTTAAATTTTTACTTTATTCCTTCACCTCCCCTTGCATAGAAAAACAGTAGGTTATTTCATTATTTGGCTTATTGAAAAAAAAATATATGCTATTAGATTATAAAATTATTACAATTCCCAGAGTAAACATGTGCTAAATAAATTGCTGGTAAAGACAAAAAATCAGTCTCTGAGTATAATTTTTGCTGCCTCCCCATCTCCACTCACTTCATGTGACTACTACTTCCCCTTCTTTCAACTCCTCACTGAGAAATCAGAATGCCTCCCTGAGAAGGCATTGAGGGGATTGCCTTCCCTCAGGACAGGATAAGTTATCTTTCCTCCTATTTTTGGTCTATCACAGCACTTATCAGACTGTAATATAATTGTCTCTGCCCACTAAAATGTTATCAGATTGTCTGATTTATTGACAGTTGAATTCTCAGCACAATGCCTGCCACAGATAGCTGCTCAGTAAATATTTGTGAATAAATGCATGAGAGAAAAATATTATATTCACTTTACTTATAAGGAGTTAGAGACTCGTGTAGAATGTTTGTTGAAAGTCCCAGAGCTAGTAAGTGGTAGATTAAGGATTCGATACCGGTTCCAGTGACTGAAGTTCATGATCACTGTGCCTTTACAGGAGGAAAGAGACTATGATCATCCTTGGAAGTAGATTCTGTTCACCTCTGTGCCTGGGCAGCATCAGACCAGAGGGGGTGAACTGAGTGTTGAGCAGGTAAGCCTCACCTTCTCTCAAAAAAGCTGATACAGGAACATTTGCTAGTTTGGAAGCATGGTGGGGATGGCATTTTTGGCTTCTCTCAATGGAAACCCCATCTACTTACTATAAGATGTCTTTAGATGGCCCTGTCCCAGGACAGGGGTCAGACATTTTAAATTAAGGGTGCTCTGAATATATTTTTATTTATTTTTTTAAAATATATTTTATTGACTTTTTACAGAGAGGAAGGGAGAGGGATAGAGAGTTAGAAACATTGATGAGAGAGAAGCATCGATCAACTGCCTCCTGCACACCCCCTACTGGGGATGTGCCTGCAACCAAGGTACATGCCCTTGACCGGAATCAAACCCGGGACTCTTCAGTCCCCAGGCGACGCTCTATCCAGTGAGCCAAACCGGCCAGGGCATGAACATATTTTTTTTTAAAGGAACTATGTGAATTTTATGTATACTGGCAAGCTTTTCAAAATGTATTTAATTTGGTAATATTTACCAATGATTTATTTACAAGCTATTTACTCAAATAAATGAAGCTGCTTAAGAGAGAGAGAGATACTTTAAAATCTTTAAAGGTGACAGTCCCGTGTGATGGAGAACACAAACACACACAACTGAGAAATGGACAAGATTCATTTAAACAAACACCCTATTTCCTGTACTCCTTTGAGAGTAAGTGTAGGAAACCTCTGGCAGTAATAATGGTCAAAGTATATTGAGCACAAAACATATACACTAAACAGACTGAGCCAAATGCTTTTACTTGCACTAATAACTTAATCCTTAGAACAATTCTTTACAGGGAGAAAAGAGCCTATGATCCTCATAGTAGATGTAACGTCCTCTACAGAAGAGGACGTTAATGCTAACAAAAGGTAAGCAACCAACTGTAGGTCAACAGCTAATAAGGGGTGGAGTAAAGATTTGAACCCAGAACTTTCTGACCATAGTCTACTCTTAACTATTTGACTAACCTGCTTCTAAGGTGGCCAAATGTACCCCTCCCACCCCATCCTAGACCTGCATTAGTAGAATCCAGAGGCTTGGCAAAGAAAGAATTCTCAGGGTAGGGTGGGAACTGGGTGGAGGGGAGTTATGGTGGGAAAAAAGAGGAACCAATGTAATAATCTGAACAATAAAGATTTAATTTAAAAAAAAAAAAGAAAGAATTCTCAATTCTCCAGTAAGTTTCCTTTGGGGAAACAGGAGAAAACAACACTAGAGTGACTTCTGTCTCCATTCTCACAGGCCTACCTCTGACTTCAACCCATCCTCCATACTGTTAACCTGGCGTTCTTTCTGAAATGCAAATCTCAATCACATAGACTCCCTCCTTAATATTGCAGTGGCTTCCCTTCTGTGTTAGGATAAAGTTTCAGTTCCTTAGCATAGAACATGAGGCCCTCTACATCTGGCTCTGACATACTTTCCTTCCCTCTCCTCCTTTCTTGTATTCCCAAAAATTCATATGTTGAAAACCACACCCCTATATTTGGAGACAGGGCTGTTATGGAGGGAATTAAGGTTAAATGAGATCATAAATGTGGGGCCATAATCTGATAGGATTGGTGTTCTTATAAGAAGAGGAGGAGGGACCAAATATCTATCTACCTCTCTACACTTCACCCCCCCTCCCCCGCCCTTTGCAGGTGCACAGAGGAAAGGCTATGTGAGAAAACAGCAAAGAGGTGGTGTCTGCAAGCCTTTAGAGACCTCACTGAAAACCAACCCTGGCACCTCGATCTTGGACTTGTAGCCTCCGTAAGTTTCTGTTTTCTAGACCACCTAATCTGCGGTCTCTTGCTATGGCAGCCCAAGCTGACGGACACAGAGTTTCACTGAATGTTTATAGAAGAGAAGGCTCACAAAGCTGTCTTGATCAGCCCTGTCCAAAAGCACTTTCCTCAGTGATGGAAATGTTCTATATATGCTTTGTCAAACACAGTAGCCACCAGACACGTGGTTTAGTACAACCGGGGAACTGAATGTTTAAATTAATAGTTCAATTTAATGAATTTAAATTAAGTTGAAATAACCACAAGAGGCTAGTGACTAATGTATTACACAGCACTGGTCTAGGTGATTAAACTTGAATCTTGCTATCATATCTGATACCATAATCTTCTATGTAGATTTTTAAATTAAGTTATTTCTGTTTATTTATTTTTGGTGCCCTTGGCCGGAATCAAACCTGGGACCCTTGAGTCCACAGGCGAACGCTCTATCCACTGAGCCAAACCAGTCAGGGCTTAAATTAAGTTATTTCTATATGCTTTATGTAGTCCAAACTTGATTAAAAGGCACGATAGCTAGCATAAGGCATTATTTTTTTAAATCTTAAGAAACAACAAAAAATTGTATAACATTAGAAGTGGAACTCAAATTCTGTTTAAAAAAAAACAAACCAATTTATCCTGTGCCTGTGACTTAGACATTATTTCTCAATTTTGTTCTTCACAGCAGAACAAAATTCATATTAACCTTAAGAAAAGTAATGAGCTCTTCCAAATTTGCTATATTTAGCAATGTAAAGGATTTATTTATACAACAATATGACTTGAGTAGTGGTTAAAAAACTTTTAGTTAATGGATCAGCTTTGTACCCTATGCTGTTGTCATGTAATAGCAAGACCAACCTTCATTTCATTCTCCTAAATGCCATTAATCAATGGCTCTGGCTTCTTAGTAGCCTTAGATAATTCTATATTGATTTGCTCCTGCTACAGCTATTGGCTTTAACCACTGTCAAGTTTTGTCACCCTGGACCCTGCCTGTCATACTCAAGTCTCTAAAAAAAAGCCATAAGGAAATCTCCAGCCAGAGGTACCACCTTTATTACAAGGTAGCATGTTGTTCTGAATCTCTATCTCCTCTTTGCAAACAGATGATCAAGCTAGGTAGGAACCTGAGGCTTCCTTTTTCTCTATCCCCAGAATCCTGAAGTCAGTGGCTAGCAAACTCAACTAGGAATGTATCAGCAAGTGATAGCAATCTAGATTAACCGTGGGATAAGCATATTTTTCTTTTACAGACCAAGAGATCGGAGGTATTTGTTTAAAGGCTCAACCACCGCAGGGCAGACATCTCTGCAATTTTCTTGGTTTTCGCCTTGTAGTTGCAAAATAGTTGCTTCAGTTCTAGACATCTTAAGAAGAAGAAGGAAGAAGAAGAGGCAAAAGACCAGTACAAGAAATTTCTGCCCATTCTTATCAGAAAAACAAAAACCTTCTTAGAAGTCCTGAGCACTGGGCCTCTTCTTTGCTTCTGGTCTCATTCTGCCCTTCCTAGAACTCTGGCCTATTTCAAAGTCTCATTCCTTCTCTCAGTGAAGAATCCTGTGCCCTCATTCTCTCCAGACTTAAAAAAAAAACAACCCAAAGCAGTGAGCCTATGTTTTATCTCTGCTGCCTCTGGTCTAGGGCCCCCATTACAATCTCTTCTCCTAAAGGCCCTGCCTCCATGGAATGGAGTTAACACAGGCGTCCTCCATGTCTCCACCTCCTCCTACCTGTGGAAAGGACCCCTGTCCACTGGAGGACTGAATCTGGACTTATATTGCCCTGTGCTACTCATTGTGGTCCCAGCAGCTCTAGCCACATGAGAAAATTCACCTAAATACACTCAGAGCTCCCTGTCCCTGAGTTTTTGCTCTTCCAATTCCCCCTACTTAGAATGATCTTGAATTCAGTGCAGATACAGCTTTTCCCGTACAATCTTCTGATATACTGTGATCAGAAATGATACCCCTGTGTCCCCAGGCCCCTTGGCTTATACCTGTCCAATGGTATGCAATACCCTGTCCCTGTATCATAGTTATTTCTATAACAGTTGAACTGTCTGTGAGGTTTTTGGTAACAAGCTCCTATGAGTCTCATTAATTTTTGTGCTCCCTATATGCCTGCTATTGCCTTGTACAGACTAAGCACTGAAAGAGTATATTTGGAATTAAATTGTAAGTATTCAGTCTGTTTGAATGAGTGAGATGACTTATTTACCTTCTCTTTCTTCCCCTATACCCATCACATATCATTTGAGTTTTCTGGAAATTGAAACTGAGAATATTGTTGGTGTCTAGGGTAGAAGTTGGGAATTATAGTGGGAATCATTATCATTAGATAGATCCAGACATAGGGTAGTTCATTGAAAAATGAATTTTATTTAATTTCTACCAACAACTGTCTGTGTCTTCACCTCTTCTTGAGTCCTGGAAACCACACATATTTAACATTAGCTTGCCCCTTGTATTAGATAGGGTAGGTCAGCTGCAGAAATAACAATTATTTAGTGTCTTAAATAATACAGAGTATTTCTCTCTCACATAACAGCCCGGGATGTGACTCTTCTCAAGTAATCATCCAAAAACCTAGGTTGGTGGCCGCTCTCCCATCCATTAATAGAAATTCTAAGAGAACAGCCTTCCTTTAAAATCAAGAGCTAAGGAAGGAGGATCATGTAATGATGCAGAAACATTTTGAGGAAGAGAAGAAAGACATTGAAATGGTCACATTGGACCTTCTCAATCTTTTATACTTCATAGGAGGACTCAGGAGACAGAAGACAGGGTGAGTCTCTAAGGAAGCAGTAACCCCACAATTAAAGATAAGGCACTTTCCGAGGTAGACAGGGCCCTGGAATAGCTGGGAGTTAAGGTCAAACTAAGGCTGTGTTGGCATGGTCCAGCCAGGACAGCCAGTGTCAATATCAGAGCTGAGGGGCCAGAGCAATAAAGGAAACAAAGCAAGAAGTCAGGATGTGGGTGAGTGGTGATGATGGGGAATGTACAGGCAAGGTGAGGAGTGGGGAACTGCACTGTGTGCGGATGGAGGCACCAGCGTTAAATGACCAGAGCCCAGACAGACAGGTCATTTGCTGGGAGTAAAAGGGCAGGGGTGGAGTTAAGTTAAGAGGAGGGTTTAGGTGGCAGTTTGAAGGGGCACCTGGTTCTCTCACAGTGGACTTCAGGATGATCCATACTTTTTTTTCTGGATCTCCTCCAGCTTAATTCATCCAAAGAAAAGCTATTTCTTTTTTTTTTTTAATGTTTTTATTGATTTCAGAGAGTAAGGGAGAGGGAGAGATAGAAACATCAATGATGAGAGAGAATTATGATTGGCTGCCTCCTACTGGGGATCGAGCCTCCAACCAGGGCATGTGCCCTGACCAGGAATAGAACCCTGACCTCCTAGTTTAGAGGTCCATGCTCAACCACTGAGCCACACTGGCTGGGCAAGAAGAGCTATTTCAAGTGGAAGAACACCTTATTTCTGCTACATCATATTAACACCACAGACACATTTTAATGTCAGAAAATATCTCTTTTTCCTCTTCACCCCAAGTCTTTGTTTCGTGTATTTGTGAGTGGCATAAATTCCAATAAGAAATGATCTTATGAAAAGATAAGTCTAAAATTGCACCACAACCTGTTGTTCAGTGGAGAGCAGTTAGCATAGTTTGCTCTCTTAAGAGTGCTTCAGAGAATAGGATGCTGCTTTATGCTGCAATTGAAACAGGCCAAACAGCCATTGAGTTTTGTGATATTTACATTTTTTCTTTTTTTCTTTTTTTTAAAGAAAAGCTCTTTCCCAACACAGAGCCTTTGAGTTGTTTCCCTCTGCCTTCAGCTCTGTCCCTACAACAAGGAACAAAATGGACAACAAGGAGCAAAGATGGCCACAGAAATATCTCTCAACACATGTGTTCTTTTTACAAAGAAACCTCAAAATTCCTCCATTAAGAGGTGGAATCTATGGGTGCTCTGCCTCTCAGGAGCACGCCAGCGCCTTTCCCTGCCCCCTTTTCTTCCCCCCTTCCTTTACCTTCCTCTCTCCTACGCTCCAAGGGCCCTTCTGCCTCCATAACTTGTTGTAGCTGGCTCACTTCTACTACCTCTGTAACTTTTGAAATAACTTTCTCTTATAACTTGAAAAAAGAAAAAAAGGAAAAGAGGTGGAATCTATGTTCCCACCCTTTGAACCTAGGTGGGCCTCTATAAGAGAATCCAGAAGTATAATCCCATACTTTGGGATCATAGCCATTTACATGCTAATCTACTCCAAAGTGAGGTAGGAGAGTGAGGGAGGATCTAATGTTGGAATATTCTCCTGGTCTCAAGGCTTAGAAGTTCTTAATTGTAAAACAAGTGATAAAATAAAATAAAAAATCCTAAGGCCTTAGAAGAGTAAGACTCTTTTTCTTCAATCAGTCTAATCCAAGTAAATCATCTGGGACCCAGCCTCTATAGAAGAGGTGACCCACGCACGCTGTTCTCCCTCCTCGGGTGTCCCCTCCTTTCTCATTATGAAAACCAAACAAACACGCACAAACGTGTCCACTCCCATCCTGTGTTTGTGACCAGGACAGGGTTCCGGTTTAAATGCACTAACAGCGGGCGGTTGACCCTACATCTGAGTTCACAGGACTCTTCTCTTCACCACCTTACCCGTTGGAAGGGGAACTGGTGCCTCGGAGCACTCGGCGCACTCGCAGCTGCCTTGTCTGTCCCAAGTCTGCATCCCCTTTGCTCCCGTTAACCTGGCGCTGGCTCCCCTGCCAATCACACTGCTCAGGCTCCAAGGGGAGAGGCAATGAAAGGACGTTTAAATATTAGGGCCGCGCAGAGCACTGAGCAGACTGCAGGGGGAGCCCGCGCGCAGACTCCGCGGGGCCGCCTGGCTCTGTCACTCTCCAGGTGGCTGAGGTCAAGTAACTTTAACCAGCTTTCTTTCCAAACATCGTTGGGTTGAAACAATTAAATTGTACATTAAATTACAAGACATGTGAAGAAAACTAAGAAAAAGAATTCAAAGTACCAGGAGACTGAAGAGAAACCGGTATAGTGAGTGGAGACAGGGCTGCAGTGAATGAATGGTCAGCGCTGGAGTGTGGGAGAAGAGACTCAGAGTAAATACGTAGAGAAATCCCCTAAACTTTACTGTTGTGCTGCCTTCCAGAAACAAAAGAGAAATGTAGAGCAGTCCAGAGTAGGCTAAAATCGTTGATTTCAGGCAGTGGAGTCTTTTTTTAAAAATATATTTTATTGATTTTTTACAGAGAGGAAGGGAGAGGGATAGAGAGCCAGAAACATCGATGAGAGAGAAACATCGACCAGCTGCCTCCTGCACACCCCCCACTGGGGATGCGCCCGCAACCAAGGTACATGTCCCTGACCGGAATCGAACCGGGACCCTTGAGTCCGCAGGTCGACGCTCTATCCACTGAGCCAAACCTGCCAGGGCAGGCAGTGGAGTCTTGAGAGAGGAAGAGCGGTGTGTATGTTTATTTTTAAATACTTTTAACTTATTTTTATTGATTTCAGAGAGAGAGGGAGAGATAGAAACATCAATGATGAGAGAGAATCATTGATTGACTGCCTCCTGCAGGCTCCCTACTGAGGATCAAGCCCGCAACCGGTATGACCAGAATCGAACCCAGCAGGCCAATGCTCTATCCACTGAGCCAAACCAACTAGGGCAGGAAGAGCGGTTTGATGCAGAACCAAGAAGTGGACCCCAGGACCAGTAAAGAGGAATGAAGTGAGCTGAGGATTGGTGATGAAGGGGATGCCAGCTGGGCTGATAATGAAACTGGAACAATGGACCCTTCAAAGTCTGATTATTGTGTTTTTGGTGCCAAGCCAGAGACAGTAATGAGACTTCATATATAATTACCTATCTTTTTTAAAGTATATTTTTATTGATTTCAGAGAGGAAGGGAGAGGGAGAGATAGAAACATCAATGATGAGAGAGAATCATTGATCATTTGCCTCCTGCATGCCGTCTACTGGGGATCGAGCTAGCAACCTGGGCATGTGCCCTTGACTGGAATCGAACCCAGGACCCTTCAGAACACAGGCCGATGCTCTATCTACTGAGCAAAACCGCCTAGGATTATAATTAGCTATCTTTACATAGCTTGCTGTCTGGGTAGTGTGGTGACTTCTGCTGGGCTGAGCAGGTGCTGCTTTGGGGGCTCTTGTGAGTGCAGTGAAGATAAATCGCTCTGGATTCCTGGGACAAAGGTAAGTCAGATCCTTACCCTTAGTGAGGGCGTTTTCCATCCCTTGCCTTTGCATCTTGCGGAGCAGTGGAAAGTTACCGAAGCTGGAGCACTGAGCGCTCCTATGTAAGACCTGCTACAGACTTGTTTTCAGTTATGGCTAAGTTAAATTAATACAGCCCCCTCTCGCTCTAACCTAGGCCAGGCCAAGACCACACAACCTTTAGAAAGCATACAAGCAAAGACCTTGGTTCATCAGTGATTTATTACTCCTCACCCCTCCCCTTTAAAAATTGCAAAATTTTGGTATATCTTTAAGGCAGCACAAAGATAGCCAGTCAACTATCTCTCAAGTAAGGTAACTCTAGGTCAGAGAAGGAATGTCATGTAAGAGGCTTAGTGAGCCTGGAGACCAAGAGGGTCAACTGAAGAAGCAGAGAAACAGGAAAGACACGAATGCGGAGTTAGGGCAGCAAGGGTGGGGCTGGAAATCTCCTACAATGGAACTATTAAACTCATTCAATAAATAATCATGTTACCTATCGGCACATGATAGTAGTAATAATAGTAACAACAACAATAATATTATACTTACTTAGAATGCTCTTTACCTATATTAACTTATATAATACAACAATCCTATCAGGGAGGGATGTACTATTATAGTCCCATTTTATTCAATGGGAAAATTGCAGCACAGAAAGTTTTAAAATGTTAGCCTTAAAAATCCTACAATGGAACTATTAAACTCATTCAATAAATAATCATGTTACCTATCGGCACATGATAGTAGTAATAAAGGGCATGTACCTGGGTTGCGGGCACATCCCCAGTAGGAGATGTGCAGGAGGCAGCTGGTCGATGTTTCTGGGAGGGATGTACTATTATAGTCCCATTTTATTCAATGGGAAAATTGCAGCACAGAAAGTTAAAAAAAAAAAAAAAAAAACAAAAGTAAGCTCTAAAGAGGGCTGGGCTTGTCTTTTCTATTCACTGCTGTTATCTCAGTGTCTGGCACATAGGAAGTGTGCATTCAATAATGATTTGTTAAATTAATAGTTGAATGGCCCAAGATCATGCAGATGGCATGGCAAGGCTGGGATAAGAACTGGGGTTTGATGGCTCTAAAGGTCCCACTGTTAATTACTGAGCCTCACTACCCTGGATGCTATTACAGAAGATGAGCTTCATGTGTCTTTCAGCCTCAGTTACAGCTGCGTGGTAAAGCTTGCCCTCACTCTTAAAGCTGGCTATCTGAGGGAACACTTCTTAACTCCTTTTATGAGACCAGCATTACCCTAAAACCAAAAGAGATAAAGACATTACAAAAGAGGAAAACTGAATCAATATGTCTCATAGATGAAAAAAATCCTCAATAAAACATTAGCAAATTCAATCCAACATTGTATTAAAAGAATTATACACCATGACCAAGTGATTCTGTTCCTGGTAAGCAAAATTGGCTCATTATTTAAAAACCAATCATTGTAATCCACCACATCAACAAGCTAAAGAAGAAAAAAATCATATCAATTGATGTAGGGAAAGCATTGAACAAAATTCAATCCCCAGCCATGATAAAAATAATAAAAAAGACACCTCTCAGCAAACTAGGAATAGAGAGGAGCTTCCTCACTTTGATAAAGAACATCTACAAAATCTACATCAGTTGCACAAAGGATATAGAAAATGAGGGAAGTTATGCATGTGTGAGGTAGGGGCTATATGGGAAATCTCTACACTTTCCTTTCATGAACCTAAAACCGCTCTAAAAAAATTAAGTCTTGCCCGGCCAGTGTGGCTCAGCAGTTGAGCGTCAACCTATGAACCAGGAGGTCAGGTTCAATTCCCGGTCAGGGCACATGTCAGGGATGCAGCAGATCAGTGATTCTCTCTCATCATTCATGTTTCCATCTCTCTCCCCCTCTTCTTTCCTCTCTGAAATCAATAATATATATATGTATATACATATGTGTGTGTATATATATGTATATACCAGGTATATATGTATTTTCTTTCACCCATTTCACCCACCCTTCACTCCCCCCACCACCACCTCTGGCAACCACCAGTCTGTTCTGAATATCTCTGAACTTGGTGAAATCAATAAAAATATATTAAAAAAATAAAATCTGCCCTGGCCGGCTTGGCTCAGTGGATAGAGCGTCGGCCTGCGGACTGAAGGGTCCCAGGTTCGATTCCGGTCAAGGGCATGTACCTTGGTTGCAGGCACATCCCCAGTTGCAGGTGTGCAGGAGGCAGCTGATCGATGTTTCTTTCTCATCGATGTTTCTAACTCTCTACCCCTCTCCCTTCCTCTCTGTAAAAAATCAATAAAATATATTTTAAAAAATAAAATAAAATCTATGGGTATGGTGATGTTTTTTTAGATACAATAACTAAGGCATGATTCATGAAAGAAATAGTTAATAAGCTGGACTTCATTACAGTTAAAAACATCTGCTCTTTAAAAGACAACATCAAGAGAACTAGACAAGTCACATATATACAAAGAACTCTTAAAACTCAACAATAAGAAAGCAAACAACCTCATTTTAAAATGGATCAAAACCCTTAATAGACACCTCACCAAAGAAGATACACAAATGGCAAATAAGCATATGATACAATGCTCCACGTCTTATGTCATCAGGGAAATGCAAATTAAAACTACACACCTATTAGAATTTCTAAGATCTAAAACACTGACAACACCAAATGCTGGCAAGGGGGTGGAGCAACAAGAACTCTCATACATTGAGGGAATGCAAAATCAACAAAAATATATTTAAAAAAAATATTCTCGAACTATATGATCCAGCAATCATGCTTTTTGTTATTTACCCAAAGGAGTTGAAAACGTATATCCACACACAAAAAAAACAAAAACAGGTACACGGATGTTTATAGCAGCTTTAGTCATAACTGCCAAAACTTGGAAGCCACCAAGATATCCTTCAGTAGGTGAATGGATAAACTGTGGAACATCTGGACAATGGAATATTATTCAGCACCAAAAAGAAATGAGCTATCAAGCCATGACAATATGTGGAGGAACATTAACTGTTTATTACTAAGTGAAGGAAGCCAGTCTGAA